TCATAAAGTCTGACCACTCTTTCACACTCACCTAAATGAAAACCTTCCAAACCCTCCAAAAAATCTTTTGTAAATAACCAAGTAATAAAACTATTAATGTCTACACATGTTTCTACATCTGGAATATCTTTTGCGATTTTTCCTTTATGTCTTAAGGTACTTCAGAAGAACTGAAACACTTGTAAATGCAACTGTTAAACTAAACATGGTTGTTACTACCTATAATTAAGAGAGAACTAAAAAAAAATAGTAAAATTAATGTATCTATTTTTATATATTAAAAAAATGAACAATGAAATTTTGAAAACCCCAAAGGTATTTGAATTCTTTTAAGTACATATGGAAACCCAGCAGTTTTCCTCCACTTGTCAACTTTCCAATACATTCCCTGCCAAATTAACTAAACAACCCAAGCCATAATGGAGACATGATTTTGATCTTTTCATTTGGTTTTTGGCAGGACCATCATTACATCAATCAAAGACACTGCTGAACACTACCCTGGCCTTCTTAGCTGTAGAGTTTATAAGAACTTTCATATCCTTTATTCTATGCATGTAAGTAATGATCAGTTTTTTGTTTTTGCTGATTTCTGAACACAGTCTTATGATCTTGCTTCCTTTTTCTGACCGATATAATCAACATCCTATTAAATACTGGAAGAATCTTCTTGCATAAATGACTGTGATTTTGCCCAGATCCCATCAAATTACTAAACATACAGAATGTAGATGGCTTAATTTACGGCTGGCATCAGGAAGCTTTTACACCTCCCTTCTCTAACACAGTTTGTTTGGAAATAAACCAAGGATGTGGAGATTGTCTAATGAAAAAATACCAAATAAATTACATTCCCCTGCTTTAAAACATCCCAATCAAAATTCAGTGGCTTTCCAATATTTCATTACTTGGTAATTTATTTCTATGGCACTCGATTTTATCAAAATGTTTCAATGACAAGTTCATTCAATCCAAATAAAATGTGCCACCAAAGAGTGCTTTTAGTGCAGTACTTGATGAATTTTCTTTACCTGATTATAGCAAATAATGAAGCATTTTTTTCACCAAGGTGATAGTTCATCAAATGATCAATGATAGAAATTATCGGGGAAGTGTGATGCAATTCATAACATATTATATATCATAATGATCCAAGTGAAAACTGAAAATTCTACTGATGTACTAGTATTTTATCCTTAACCTAATTGCTCAATCCTATCTACCTAAAAAATAATGTTTGTGAGAATATGCAAGTTTTTCTATCACAACCCATTTTTTTTTCTCTTTCAGTCATGCATCTATTCATATTTATACTTGTATCAGAAAACCAGAGATACTCTGAGCAAGCTCACAAAATAATACCCCCCATTAAAGTGCCCATTACAATTCTGTACATGTGACCTTGAATTTGCAAAAAGACCTTGCCAAATATGACACATCCTCTGGTCATAAGTAATCTTTTAGTGAAATATGGACATGCAATGCTTTTCCATTAGAAAATCATAGACCTATCATGAGTTTTTACACTTTTTATCCCAGTGACCTTGAACTTGCAGGAATAGCCTTGGGTAAAGGTCATCACACACCCTCAGGTCATATACAATCTTTGTACCAAATATGAGCTTCCAATGATCCTCCACTGCTAAGTTAACAAGAATTTTATACTTTTTCTGCAAGTGACCTTGAACTTGCAGAATGATTTTGGGTCAAAGTCAAAACACACCCTCGATCATAAGCAATCTCTGTACCAGTGAAGGCAAGATCATAGGGAAGATCAAGGTCAGGAAATTTTCACACAGTTGAAAAGTTCTCAACAATATGTATCAGTGAGTTTTGATAAAAACAAGAGGCCCAGGGGCCACATCGCTCACCTGAGCACTATGGCTAGGAAAAAGCAGAAATCAGTTCAGTCTTGAAAGGTTGAAAAGTTTAATATAAAAGTGGTTCGGGGGGGGGGGGGGGGGGGGGGGGGGTGGCATGAATTGAACAAATTTGAATCTACATTATCTGAGGATGCTTCCATTTAAATATGACCAATCATGGCTTTGCTGTTCTTGAGAAGAAGATTTTTAAAGATTTTTCCTATATATTCCTATGTAAAACTTTGATCCCCCATTGTGGCCCCACCCGACCCCCGGGGGTCATGATTTGAACAAACTTGAATCTACACTATCTGAGGATGCTACCATATAAATATGACCAATCATGGCTTTGCTGTTCTTGAGAAGAAGATTTTTAAAGATTTTATCTATATATTCCTATGTAAAACTTTGATCGCCCATTGTGGCCCCACCCAACCCCTGGGGGTCATGAGGTGACAAATTTGAATCTACACTATCTGAGGATGCTTCCATGTAAATATGACTAATCATGGCTTTGCTGTTCTTGAGAAGAAGATTTTTAAAGATTTTTCCTATATATTCCTATGTAAACTTTGATCCCCCATTGTGGCCCAACCCGACCCCCGGGGGTCATGATTTGAACAAACTTGAATCTACACTATCTGAGGATGCTACCATATAAATATGACCAATCATGGCTTTGCTGTTCTTGAGATGAAGATTTTTAAAGATTTTTCCTATATATTCCTATGTAAAAACTTTGATCCCCCATTGTGGCCCCACCCAACCCCCGGGGGTCATGAGTTGAACAAATTTGAATGTACAGTATCTGAAGATGCTTCCATGTAAATATGACCAATCATGGCTTTGCTGTTCTTGAGAAGAAGATTTTTAAAGATTTTTCCTATATATTCCTATGTAAAACTTTGATCCCCCATTGTGGCCCCACCCGACCCCCGGGGGTCATGATTTGATCAAACTTGAATCTACACTACATGAGGATGCTTCCATGTAAATATGACTAATCATGGCTTTGCTGTTCTTGAGAAGAAGATTTTTAAAGATTTTTCCTATATATTCCTATGTAAAACTTTGATCCCCCATTGTGGCCCTACCCGACCCCCGGGGGTCATGATTTGAACAAACTTGAATCTACACTATCTGAGGATGCTACCACATAAATATGACCAATCATGGCTTTGCTGTTCTTGAGAAGAAGATTTTTAAAGATTTTCCCTATATATTCCTATGTAAAACTTTGATCCCCCATTGTGGCCCCACCCGACCCCCGGGGGTCATGATCTGAACAAATTTGAATCTACACTACCTGAGGATGCTTCCACATAAGTTTCATCTTTCCTGGCCCACTGGTTCTTGAGAAGAAGATTTTTCAATAATGCCATTAATTTTTTGCTATATCGTAATTATCTCCCCTTGGAGGAGGGCATGGCCCTTCATTTGAACAAACTTGAAACCCCTTCACCCAAGGATACTTTGTGCCAAGTTTGATTGAAATTGGCCCAGTAGTTCTGGAGAAGAAGATGAAAATGTGAAAAGTTTACGACGACAACTACGCCGCCGACGCCGACGCTGACGACAGACAACGGACAAATTTTGATCAGAAAAGCTCACTTGAGCCTTCGGCTCAGGTGAGCTAAAAAATATCTTCATACTTTGTTACTGAGCAAAACACAAATGAGGGAAAAATGAGGACAGGTTCATAGGGAATGTCTATGTCAGAAAATTATGATACTGTTGAATAGGTCTCACCTATATGTATCAGCATATGAATTTTGATAAAAATCTCTTTAGCAGTTCCTTACATCCATACTGAGCTATATTCAAAGTGTGAAAGATGGATGGATGAACAGATGAAAAGACAGAAGAATGGAAGACAGACAGGACAGACTCCAGGCCATATTCCTGATGGGGCAAGATAAATCCTGAAAGTTTTACAAATAAAAGATTTTCCAGAAAACTGATTTAACTTAAAGTAATCTCAAGCAGAGCTGTTCATCACGTACAATGCATGTGTTATACTGAGAAATTAACAGATAGACATCAAAAACTACAAGCAAGATTTTTGCATCAACTATAAGGATATACCAGTGCACTTGACACTTGTGTTATCAGGCAGATTTATATTACAAGCTTAATTTTTCAACAAGCATGTAACATCAGAACCTGAGATTTTCTGATTTTTTGATGTGCCAGATAAGAGCCCCATCACATCAAAATAACTACCACCTTTTATTCCATCTAGTTATCAAGATCAAGGGTGATTCACATGAAGTTATGCCCACTTCATATAATCTTATATTCTCTTATAATTGTATTGAATTATTCATTTTACTGCCTCTGATCTAATAAAGCGGTGAGTGGTTCATAGACCTTGGACAGATTAAATGTCAAGGGAAGTAACTTTTAAATAATACTCTTAGAAAACAATCTATTTACTTCTACCACTGAGTGTATTTCGGATTTTTATTTTCAATGAACTGGAAAAAACAGGGAAAATTTCTTCTGATCCATAGTTTGTTACAATGGTTATTATAAATAGGATAATGATTACTTTTAACACCAAAAGAAAGGTTTCCTAATAACAGTCTTCTCTCCTTCCATTGACTTACCTCTTCTCTCCATCCATACTTACCCTGTCTTACCTTTCTTTCCATCCATACTTACCCTGTCTTACCTTTATATCCAAACTTACCTTATCTTACCTTTCTCTCTATCCATACTTACCTTATCTTATGCTTCTCTCTATCCATACTTACCTTGTCTTACCTTTCTCTCTATCCATACCTACCCTGTCTTACCTTTCTCTCTATCCATACTTACCTTGTTTACCTTTCTCTCTACCCACACTTACCTTGTTTTACCTTTCTCTCTATCCATACCTACCCTGTCTTATCTTTCTCTCTATCCATACTTACATTGTTTTACCCTTCTCTCTATCCATACTTACCTTATCTTACCTTTCTCTCTATCCATACTTACCCTGCCTTTAATCTCCTCTGACTTAAGTTTTCTCTTTATCCATATCTTCTCCTGACAGTTTTCTTTCTTTCTGTCTTTATCTAATATTTTCCTCTTTTTTTTTCTTTTCCTCTGACTTATTTTATCAGTTTCTGATTTTTCTCCTTCTCCCTGACTTACCCTAACAGTTTCTCCTCCACTACTACTGCTGTCTGTTGTCATGGTGGTTGTCATGGAGATCATTGAGGTTAGAGATCCTCTTCTCTCGATAGGTAGAGAGTCATCAAACGACACATCTTCTATATCCCTAGATAATACATTGCACAAGCTTGCAACACTACATGCTGTAATATTCAGTGTACATGAGGCAAATTCACATTTCATATTCTCTTTTATACAAAGAACCAAATCATATAAAATTCATATGTCATTGTTTAGATAATTCAACAACCTTTGAAAAACTTTGCTATTTTTTCAGATTATAAGTGGAAGCTAGCTGTCAATGACAGCAAACCAGGTTTTCTTTTGTATGAACAGTTCTAGTATTTCTCACATAAATTATAAAAACGTTCTATTCTGACAACTGTAGGACATGATATCCAAACAATATCAATGTACCCTATGAACATATCTTGCATAAAATGACTAAGTTCAACAGCTGCTACTTTCCCCATATATAATCAAAAATCAAAATCCAAGTTCCATGCATACCTCTAATTTATTTCATTTTTTACAATTGATCTGAAAAATAAGAACTTCTTATCTTGAAAACTGCAGGAGGATGCACCATATAAGCATTTTTTTTTTGCATAAAAATGACTAAGTTCCACAACTGGGTTTTTTCTCATAAATAATCAAAAATCAAAATCCTGAAAAAACTTTAGGAGGAGTTATCCGAACAAATGATGTACTATTTTAGCAGCTGCCCGCCTGATATTTTCACCATTTCAACAACAGAAAACCCAGTTAAATTTTTTTCGTCAGATTGTAAATCTGGGTACAATTGAAATCCTTTTAATTGAAAAATTCCCTATCACACGTACAAGACATGAAAATTAAACATTCTGCCCCACCTCTTTGGGAAAGCAAGAAGCTGTGCCTTGGTAGCCTGGAGTGGCTTGATGGTAGTGGGTTTGAACAGCATGGCTGGCTTATCCTTCAAGGCCTTGGGTATATATTGCATTCTCTCCGTCATTAACTCACGGACTTTCTTGACCCAGTTTTGTTTGGTATCCAGGTCTTTGGCTTTAAGGATGATTCTGTAGTCTGAGATAGGCACTCTCCCAGTCCACAGGGCAAACTTGGTCTCATCACCTTCGATATGTTCTGTGATGTTAATATCTGATATCTGAAACAAAGATTCATATATGTGATTGTAGTCTCATAATCCTATTTCATATGTTCAATGAACATACATCATAGCTATTGGCATATTTGCTTAATATTAAAAACATATCATATTTTAAAATATGTTTCACTTGTCAAAAAATATAAAATCTTGAATAGATGAAAATCATCAAATAATCCAAATTTTATGGAATATCATAGTTATATAAAGCCTTTCCTTGGTAATACCATTAATATTATTTCCACAAGAACAATTAAAGAATTATTAATAGAAAAGTAAGACGGACCACCCACTTACCATAAGCCTGAACTTGTACTGATATTTAGCCTTGCCATTGCTGTCCTTCATCTCTTTGGACAAAATCACACACATGTCAAACAGGAACAAGTGACGGTCTCTTCCCTTCTTAATCAACTGTTTAGGGTCCCACACAGTAAATTGATCCTGGAGGAAAACATCCCCCAGGGCTTCAGGTTTCTCTTCTAATCCTTCCAGTAGACTCAGATGCATGGCATCATTTGCCCTCTTGGGGACATTCATCATGACCTCTAACCCATCCTGTTGTAGGAGTAAAATTTTACAGGATTTACAAACACATAACAAAGCTGATTTTGTTTATAGTGTATTAAAGTTGACTGATGATTAATCATCTTCCTTGCAAAATAATGAAAGAATATTATTATGATGATGGGAAGTTGTACAATGATAATGGTCAAGTTAATATGAAAATGTAACACATGAAAACCATTGATAATCACTTTTTTGGCTTCAGTACATGATTACAGTAATAATGATAATATGACGATAACAAAAATGTAATGAAGTGTCTTGAATGTCAGTTTCAATCTCCTTTTCATCCTTTTTATTTCAAAGTAGGGTTTTTATTTCTTTGGTTGTTTGTTTGTTTCATTTGTTTTCTCAATAAACAACCCCCCCCCCCCCCTTCAAACTTTTCTGTCTAAAATTACACAATTCAAATCTTACTTTTCAGCAATCAATACCAAAAAGAATTTTAGAGGAAGGAGCTGATACCCATTTACTAAATCCAACACTTTACAAGTAACAGGAAATAAAACAATGAATACTTATGAAATATATCTTATTGCAATCCATGCAATTTGAAATTGGTTAGGCAATGGAATAATGTTAGTGATGAGAAAATTAGCATGCCAGTGAGTGTACCATTAGGGAAATTTATGATGAATCCTATTCCAATAGGGACCTGTATGTAAATGTTATAAATGACATATCAAGTCAGTGAGATTTTAAATATTATCTTTTTTTGAATGATTATGACATTTTACACTGAATCTGGTTCCAGAACTTTGATACTGAATAATACGTTATTTCACCTTCATTATGCATGAGTATTTTTATGTCATGAAAATTCTTCAGAGCCTACTCTTGAAAACAAAAAAAAAATTCCTTTAGGATATTTTTCCTTTCCATTTACAAATTTATGTAATCTGTGTATTTTCCTTATATTTTCTCAACACAATTATTGATATTATAAACATTTTTAACAGCACGTGAAATCTATGTACAGTAAAATATACTTATCGGAAATATACATATATATAATACACAGGTGATTTCCACTCTACATTTTTAAATTCTTCTTGAATTATTGGTTCAGTCAAAATCACAAAAATTGAAAAGAAAAATAATACAGTAATGTTCTAAATCAAATAGAATAACTGAATAGTAATTGTCCCTCCAAAGGATCAAATTGCCAAACTCTCAATCCGCAGAAATTAATTTTTACATGGTACAAATGAATTAACAAATGAAATACCAGAGTTGGTCTTTGTCTGGGGTTTTCTATAATTGTTCTCTACTGTACATTGATAAGGAAACACAAATATGGAGTTGGTCTGGAAGAATTTTCAATCTGACTGTACAGCAAAATACCCAGAGAAGCCACGCACTGCTTACCAAGAGTTCATAGTACCTCAGTGAGTCTTTTGTCTTGATGGCTTTTCTTAAACTATTGTAAGAGTTCTACAATTCATATTAGTACAGGCATAAAAATGCATTAATCCAACAGAACATAAATGTCTACATCATGCAGGACTTTTCAATTTTGTTTTTTATTCCTAATCAAAATGGAATTACATCTTATAAACTGGATGTATTCAAATCTGTTTATGTATGTCTTGGAAATGTGGGATGGCTTAATTGGGTTAGGGAAAATCTAAAATATTTTCTACCTGGGTAACTCATCTATCTTCCAAAGAATCTACTGTACCTGTACATGCTACATTTAGCCAAAGCCTTTTCAGACATTTAAATTCTTTAAATTTCATAGGACTCACATATCAACAAATTCAGGGTACATGTGTACTATGCATGCATGTACATTGAAAAAGACTATAAGTTTTATATTTTGAAAGTGAGTTGACATTCTGAATATCTTGGAACATGTAGGAGAGTCTTGCATGATGTACTTGCAAATCAACAAAACAAGAAAACCTATAAAAAAAAATGCATTATTATCAAATTACATAAAACTTGCAAATCACTAAACAAAAAGTAGAAATGCTACAGAGTTTTTCAGTAAAATAAAACACAAAGAAAAAAGGAAAAGCCATGCAATCATAATTCAGCAGCTGCAACCCTAAGGAGCCCCAAACCTTGATTTCCCCATTGTGACCCTCACAACAGGACAGCAGATCTTTGAGCAGCAGTTGATACTTGGTGATTCTTTGTACAGGTTTGATCAGGTAAGAAGCTAGAGGCTCATTCAGCTTGTGTTTGGCCTGTACCTCCTACAATTACATTGAAAAAATCTACTATTAATGTCAATAAATAATGCATTATTTGGTAATTCATGACAACTATCCACTATCAGATAAAGAATAAATCAGACAAATGTTTGGACAGAATTAGAATTAAATGTTTATCCAAACAACAGTAACCCTTGTATAGTCCACAATAACAACTGCATACACGAGTGAACCATAGAATGAATTTCTACATTTAAATTGGTATCAATTATCTGCATTCTTCTTATGAGAAGAAAATGATGTTGTTAATTTAGCATAGATAATCAACAATATATCATAGCCACTAAATAATTGATTAGTGAACTTATTTTGATGTCTAATTTCTGCTTTAATGCTGTAGATTTCAGTTCACAAAATATATCTATTGATGCAAATGTAGTTGTTGAAAACAGTTGTTGGAGGTTAAATGAAATATAGAAAAGTTGGGTTTTTCCCTTTACCTCAAAAAATGAGCCAGCATGTTCCACAAGCAGCTGGTTTGAGTCTGGTTTGTTTCTACAGTAGGTCACATAAATAGAGAATTTCTCAGCCTGTAGACAAACACAAAGATTTAACAAAAAGTTATCACATCCTCTCTACAATGTACCAGAAATCTGCATTTCTTTTTTCTGTAAAATCATCTATATGAATGACAAAAATGTAAGAATATGATTCACATCAACATACCCAAGTGACAAAACAATGGCCAACATCTTCTGGAATAGTCTCATATTTCTCCAATTCTTTCAAAAATATACTGAAATCAAATAATAAAACATATAATTTAGAACTTTCTAAATGGGATTAATACTCCTATGGAGCAACTAAAGAAATGGCATAGTTTAATTTGCATTTAAAAAACTGTCATCTTGCAAAAAAAAAAATATGAAAAAAACAACAACAACAAAATACATAATGCAAAATCCTGTAGCCACAATCTTTACTAAAAAGTAATCAGCTGAAGGTTGTAACCTCTGGTTGATAGTAATCTTTGAGTCAAGTATGAAAGTAGGACTCTTTCAAGGCCAAGAAACTTCTCACTGATGTGACTTTGACAAATATGCAAACAACCCTGGCCAAGAATAACATCAAACTTCTTTTTAAAGACCTTAAAAATTCGACACTTCTGAACTCTATGACCTTGACCTAGTCCAAATGACCTTTGTTCTACATCATGACACATATCCCGGGATCGGCCAAACATGATCTTCTTCAGATATTCCATTGCAAAATTATTTTACGGACATGAATTTTACTCTTCAATCACAGTGACATTGATCAAATGACAGGGTTGTTGTGTTCCCTCTGTTCACAAATGACCTATGTTTAATGTCTCTTTGCTTCAAAGATTTGGCCAAGGCAAAAAATTTTACACTTCTGAAACCTGTAATCTTGTCTGAATTACCCTGGTTTGTGTCATGACAAACCGAAAGTCATAAACAACTTTTATCTCAAATGCAAACTTCTAATGTTTCTCTATTTCAATTTTAAGGCTGAACAATTACTTCATACTTCTGTACCCAGTAACACTGATGATGTCCAAATGACCTTGGTACAGGGTTAAGACACACCTCTAGTTACAAACAACCTTTTAGTATAAGATTCTGGAGTTTCTTGGTTTTAAGGATACATCCAGACAGGAATTTACTCTTCTTATGCCCTTTACATTATTTCAATGAAACCTTTAATACTAGAAAGAATCTCCAGACAAAAAAATGTCTAAAGACAGACCAACAGATAGCTGATCTCAGTATGCCTTCCAAACTTGGGGGGCTGGGGGGGGTTACACATTATAAGGTTTAATATTTAATATCAAACAAAAAAAACCTGCCTTACTGCCTAAGTCATTATTAACAAACTTTATATCATTAAAAAATGCATTCTACCAAAATTTACAACCATCAGCAAGTCTTTTTTTTATTACAATTACTTAGTTAATACACTATCTAATTAACAAAACATATGTCCTCTTTTTCCTCAATTTCATATGCTCACTTTTTATGGAAGTCATAAATTTCTTCCAAGTTACAGAAAATGACTTTATGTTTCCCATATATACCAAATGGGACATTGTTATCTGGCTCCATAGCTTCACTCAGGTAAGTCTGGAAAATATAACAAAATAATATATATGACATGCCATTAACAATTTGAAAATGGTTTCTGTTCCTGCATCTATTTTTGTCAATTGTTTTTATAAAAGATTTTTAAAAAATTGATAATCATGATAATTAACTTTCAGCTTTCCATACCTTGATGCAAACTTCTAAATCTTTAACATATGTTCTTTCAGTTTGTAAAAGTTCAGCCATCACAAACCTACAAGAAAAAAATTAGTTAAGTACACAAAAATCATTGACAAGGACAAATATTCAAACTTATCATTTCAAATCATAAGGCATGACTTAGACTGTGTGCTGTCTGATAATGTTTTACAAGACGCCAATGAAATGTCAAGATCACTCAGGACTCCGATAAATGATTTTTTAAAATAATAAAAATCACTTTTCTTTCTCCTATATTCCTAATTTAAAAAGCCTTTCTTAATGTATAAATTAGTGTACACTCACTCCCTTTTCCTGGCTGATCTGCGTTTCTCTTCCGTCAGTTCCTTTGGAGCCTGGTTCAGGACCTTATCTTCCAGGGAGGAATCACTGTGTCTCTGTTCCTCTTTTTCTTTAGGTTCCTATTATACAACAGTACTCACTAATCTATCCTCCAATCAGATGAGGTACTTTATAACATCTAACAGATATTTCATCTTTAATTCAGTACGGCTTAACCTTTGATCCCAAAAATAATTCATGGAATTTCTATTATCATACTTAAAGCTACAATATAATAACTTTTACAACTTTGACAATGTCCTATATGTTCTCTCAATTTGTAAAAGTTCAGCCATCTTATCCACTAGAAATACTTTGTGACTGGTTACTTACAGGCACCTGTTCCTGGACTCCAAGCTTTGATTCTAACTTGTGTCTATATTTATCCATGCGTGAGGAGAAGTCCTTGTACCGCTTGTCCACTGCATTACACCATTGTCTGATGCTAGCTGCATGTAAATTACCCTTAGCTACAAATCCATCAGCAAGCTGAAGAAGTAAATTGACACTTTCTTTTGTCTCCTAAAAAAGGACAAAAACAGAATTTTAGAACTTAAATGCTACTGAACTTTTCTCAAGTAATTTTTCTTAGAAAAGATTACAAACTAAATAGATGGAAACACAATTTGTCCAGAAAAATACATTTGACTTTTTAGTTCAACTGACCCAGAAGACTTTCTGATTGTATTTTTTAAAATTTAAATACTAAACACCACATTCTCTTTTTTCACTTGTATTTATATTTCATTAATTACAAAGCTATTCGATATACCTTGGCTCTACTTCGGAATTCATAGTGTTCCTTCAGTAATGCCTCCGTTTCCTGTTGGTTTGCACCCAGAGTTTTGTGACTATCTAGGTAAGACTCTCCATAGTCACATATCCAATCTATGGCCTTGTAACAAAATAATAACAAATCAAATCATCATCTAGATATTTTCAAAAATATTTATCATGAAATAAAAAAAAAAAAGCAAATGCAATTTATTGTATTTCAATTAAAAACTAGAAATATGTCCATAGGACATGAATGCCCCTCCGAGGGTATATTAGTAATGCAACATGAAAATTTGTATAAGTGTATGAAATTTGATGAGAAAATCTTGAATAGTTTCTTTAAAATTGAAATTGAAATCTAAAAAGTTTGATATAGATGATAAATTCTCACCAAATTATGTATAAGTGCATAAGCTTACATAAATATATCTTAAATGGTTTCTATAAAATTAAGCAAAATGGGTGAATTAAAAAAAATGACCAAACGCATATTTGTCAACCCACACTAAAAATACAGGCAATGAAAATAGATTTCTATGTCTCAGCATATGTCTTTAGATAGTGTCTAAATACCTGCCAAATATCTCATTGATATCTCAATTAACAAAAAAGTTATGCCCAAAAATGATGCTAAAATTGTCAGGAGTGCAACACCTTTTTGTGACATTTTGAAATTTCAATATTTTTTTGGAGATCTGTGAAATAAAAAACAATGCTTCATGTTGAAAATAAAGACTTTCCTGATAATATTCAAAGTATTGAGCTTTAAATGTGGACTGTCATAACTTTTGTTTAATCAAGTTGTGGTCATGGCTGATGTTTAAAAAAATGTTATACCATGTCAGGAGTGCAACAGAAAAAATGTAGTGTTGCCAAAAAAACATCAATTGTAAAATTCTGATAGAAAATTAAGACAAAAAAGAATTTTGGAAGTGTAAAATAGTAACTGATATACATTTTAAAACTTAAAAATATTATATAAATCACAAGCAGCATTAACGAGAGTCAAGTATAGGTGCATACCCAAAAATGTCAGGAGTGCAACATTTGATGTTTTGCTCCCAAGCATGAAAAAACTATTATCATTATATGATTTTCTGATTTTTATTTTGGAAAATAAAGACACAAAGAACATTTTTACCAAATAGATTTATCAATTACAGGATCTGTCTGATCTTCAGATCCATATTTCTATGGTCAGGAGTGCAACACATTTTCTTAAAGATTCAAGTTGTGTGTCAAAAAGACTTCTATTCATGCTTAGAGGTATTCATTAATTAATAATGATCTTTTTGTATAATTTAATGCTAAATTATTGACAGTTTTATTATTAAAATTCTTTCTTTTTCAATTTTATCAATTCAGATGTGTTTTTATCTTTTTTGTGATTTTTTTAATGAACATTCAAAATAAACACACTAAAACATTGTCATTAAATTCAAGTAATTCCTCCTCAACTTCACTGAAACAACAGAACAAGTTCTTATGTAATTTTCACTTCACAATTCTACTTTAAAGGCCCCAATGCTTTTGGTCAGGAGTGCAACAAATATGTTAGAATTATAAATCATCCAATAAGAATAAAAACTAGATGCGATCTCGTTGCGAGCAACGAGTGGGTCTTCCGTCCGATTTTTGAGAAGATGAGATACGAATTTGACTGAGATTTTCGTTCATAAATATATAAATAGTGAAAACGTACAATTTCCTTCAGTTATGTTTTTGATCATTATGGCACCTAAAAACGCCACATTTGATGAAGATTTTAAAAATTTTATAGTAGCAGATCGTGAAGATGAACATTACTGTAAAAGGGTTATAGATGAAAGATTTTTGGCCCCTCCGAGCCCCTAATTCGAGGGGTCAGCCCCTTTTTCTTGATATCACATGAAAGGTCTTGTAATTCTGAAGACTTTTTGTTCAACAACTGTTCAGAAGTTTCGTTTCGTTTTCGAGATATGTAGACTTGAAATATTTAGGTGCCGTCTCTTTAAGTCCTTATAGGGGCTGTTTAGGAAAAATTAAAGGGATGCACATTGTTGAGAACATCATTCTAAATAACATTTGTTAAATATTGCTTTTCAAAATATTTCCCCTTTTCGAGATATAAAGCGTCCAAGATTTAGCATTCTGGTCCCTTATGGCCCCTAATTACGTAATATTTGAAGAGAATTTAAGATATATAGTTGCAGATTGTAAAGATGAACATTTTTGCTTCAATAATTAATATCAAAATATTTAGCGTTAAAGAGTTATAGATGAAAGACTTTCGTCCCCTCTGAGCCCCTAATTTGAGGGGTCAGCCCCTTTTTCTTGATATCAAATGAAAGGTCTTGTAATTCTGAAGACTTTTTGTTCAACAAGTATTCAGAAGTTTTGTTTCGTTTTCGAGATATGTAGACTTGAAATATTTAGGGGCCGTCCCTTTAAGTCCTTATAGGGGCAGTTTAGGAAAAATTCAAAGGATGTACATTATTTAAAACATCATTCTAAACAACTTTTGTTCAATATTGCTTTTCAAAATGTTTCCCCTTTTGGAGATATAATGCGTCAAAGATTTAACATTCTGGCCCCTTCTGGCCCTTTCTGGCCCCTAATTACGTAATATTTGATGAAATTTTAAAATATATCGTTGCAGATTGTGAAGATGAACATTTTTGCTTCAATAATTAAGATCAAATTATTTAACGTTAAAGAGTTATAGGTGAAAGACTTTTGGCCCCTCTGAGCCCCTAATTTGAGGGGTCAGCCCCTTTTTCTTGATATCACATGAAAGGTCTTGTAATTCTGAATTCTTTTGTTTAACAACTGTGCAGAAGTTTCGTTTCGTTTTCAAGATATGTAGCCTTGAAAATTTTAGGGGCCGTCCCTTTAAGTCCTTATAGGGGCTGTTTAGGAAAAATTAAAGGGATGCACATTGTTGAGAACATCATTTTAAACAACTTTTGTTCAATAATGCTTTTCAAAATGTTTCCCCTTTTGGAGATATAAATCGTCAAAGATTAAGCATTCTGGCCCCTTATGGCCCCTAATTACGTAATATTTGATAAAAGTTTTAAAATATATGGTTGCAGATTGTAAATATGAACATTTTTGCTTCAATAATGTATACAAAAATATTGCTTGTTTAAGAGTTATAGATTAAAGACTTTCGGCCCCTCTCGGCCCCTCATATGATGAGTCAGCCCTTTTTTCTTGATATCATGTCAAAGATCTTGTCATTCTGCAAAAATATTGTTCAATATGTTTTAACAAAATAATTATACTTTAAAAGATATGATACAAAAAGTCTCAAAAATTCACTCATGATTCGTGTCCTGAATTTCGACCCCTACCGAGCTTCCATACTAGGCACTTCCGGAAAATATCTAAGCCCAGGTGCAAAATGGCAACATGTCCTCTATCATCACTGAAAATTTCAGCACTCTAGCTTAAGCCGTTTTTGAGTTCCATCGCAGACAAGGAGGTCCTCTGAATTTTAATAAAAGGGCGATAACTCTCGACCGGAAGTAAATATCCCTTAACGGATTTGCCGGAATTAACTTCAGATGTCAACGCATCTACCTTGAAAATTTGAATAAAATCGAACGAGCCATCTCCGAGAAATCCTCTGCACAAATTTTGTAAGGAGAAAAAAGAATAATAATAATAATAATAAAGGTAAAAAAGAAACCTAAGAATAATAGAAGGGTCTTCCGCTGAAGACGGAAGACCCTAATAAAGAAAAAATGATGAGTAGAATTTTTCTGGTGGGTTACTGTGTTTGTCCTCTAAAGGAAAATATGCTTTAAAATATATTTTATCTTCTAAATATACATTTAAGCTAGTTTTTTTTGGCATAAAATAGGGTATAATTCCAGATAAAATGCGAATTTTAAATACTTTCATCTGTTTTAATTATGAAGTATTGGACTATAAGTATTGCACAATTTCATTACCACTTGATGTTGCCAACACTTTATGAATTTTTGTGTTCTATGGTTTTAATTTTCAACTTTACTGCAGTCAGGAGTGCAACAAAACTGCTTCATAATTACCGATGTTTTTTAACTACCTTTACTAAAAAATAAGTTGAAGAAAAATGCTTGATACTATTTGATGTTCAAAACACTACGTCTATCAACAAATTACAGAAATTTAACAGTCAATTCAGGGAATAGTTTTCATCATTTCACAAATATTTTAAATAAAATTTATACATATTACACTTTGCAAATAATCATGTTTTAAGGTCTTCAAAATGTGAAAAACCTGCTGTAAACGATGAAAAATATCAACACGACAAATTGATTTACAAAGTAAGAATGGGTTATTTTGTGTTATAATTTTTAAAACAATGTTAAATAAAATACATATCAGATGTCAGGAGTGCAACACAATAATGTAACATAGGGTCACTTCAAAATCTAGTATTTTTTGTGAGAGAACTCGTATATAACAATTCTTTTTTGGCTTAGATTTAAAGAATTGACTTGAACGGACAAAAAAGTGAATTTTGGGGAATTTTATTGCTTCATATTTTTTTCATATTAAAACTTTTCAAACCAGAATTGAAAAAATAATGTAAAATAACAAACAAAAAGCCAATTTTTTGTCACATGTACAAGAGAAGATACTCATTCAAGGTCTAGGTTTAATCATTTATACCCCTTTTACCATTTTGAAGCATAAAAAACTATAATTTCTTGTGATTATGTATTTTAGAAAGTCTTTTAAGGTGTAATGATATTTTCTTTTTTCAAATGATATTTTACTAATAAAAATTCTGAAACTTTTTAATCCAATTGTCTATTCTATTGCCACTTCAGAATTTTAAACTAGAATGCATTTGCAATATGATGATATAAGTGAAAAATATGTTATAAGTACTTGAATTTTGCCAAAAAAATTCAGTTTGGTGGTCATTTTTTTTTTAATTCACCCAAATGCAAATTTCAGAAAAGTGAGGTCAAGGTCCAAAAAAAGTTCAAGGTCAAACGTTTTTGCAGTTGAATAGTTCTCATAAATATGTATTAGCATATGAAGTTTGATAAAAATATTATGAATGGTTTCTTTAAAACTGAGTTAAACACAAATTGAGAAGAGTGAGGTCAAGGTCAAAGGAAAGGTCAAGGTGAAAAAATATTGATGCAGTTGAATAGCTTACGTCAGTATGTATCAGCAAATGAAGTTTGATACTAATTTAAGAAAAGTGAGGTCAAAGGAAAGGTCAAGGTCAAAGATTGTTGATGCAGTTGAAAAGGTTACATCAGTTTGTATTAGCATATGAAGTTTGATAAAAATATTATGAATGGTTTCTTTAAAACTGAGCTAAACACTTATTTAAGAAAAGTGAGGTCAAGGTCAAAGGATAGGTCAAGGTCAAAAAATACTGATGCAGTTGAATAGCTCTCATCAGTATGTATCAGCATATGAAGTTTGACACCAATTAAGAAAAGTGAGGTCATGGTCAAAGGAAGGTCAAGGTCAAAAAATGTTGATGAAGTTGAATAGCTTTCATCAGTATGTATCAGCATATGAAGTTTGATAACACTATTTTGAATGATATCTTTAAAACTGAGCTAAACACCTATTTAAGAAAAGTGAGGTCAAGGTCAAAGGAACGGTCAAGGTTAAAAATACTGATACAGTTGAATAGCTCTCATCAGTATGTATCAGCATATGAAGTTTGTTAAAAATATCTTGAATGGTTTCATTAAAACTGAGCTAAACACTTATTTCAGAAAAGTGAGGTCAAGGTCAAAAAGGTCAAGGTCAAAAAATGTTGATGCAGTTAAATAGCTTACATCAGTATGTATCAACATATGAAGTTTGATTACACTATCTTGAATGGTTTCTTTAAAACTGAGCTAAACACTAATTCAAGAAAAGTGAGATCAAGGTCAAAGGAAAGGTCAAGGTCAAAAAAATGTTGATGCAGTTGCAAAGCTCTCATCAATATCTATCAGCATATGAAGTTTGATAAAAATATCTTGGAGAGTTTCTTTAAAACTGAGCTTTGAACAGAGCTAAACTCAAAGTGTGACGGAAGGACAGACAGAAGGACGGAAGGACAGAGGGATGGAAGGACGGAAGACGGACATGACAAACACTATATGCCCTGGCCATATTCATGGCGGGGCATAATAACACAATTTTTTTTTGAACATCTGAATTTTTTTTTACATCAAAATTATGTTAAATATTAAGAAGTATTATCTCCCTTCAATTAAATGAAATGTCTTTTAGTTATAGTAGAGAATAAAGACAAATATGAGAGTACCTGTCTAGCGCTCTGTTCAAACAGGACATACTGATGACACTGTTCTAACTTCCTCTTCTTCACAGTCCAGTTCTCTATCACATGATTCTCCTGATGGAGCAACTGATCCAGGCAAGCTACAAAAGTCACACACCAGCTGATAGTTTGTTACAGTAGGAAAGGTCTGAGAAGTTCAGATTATTGGTGTTTTTTTCTTGTTTTTTCTTTTAACCTTTTTCTGTGTGATTACATTGTTGCGCACCTTACCTTTGACATGTTTTCCTGGATCTACAGTTCTGTACTTGATCTGTGTACCAAACGTGTACAGATTCCTGTTGACATACTTCAAGAAAGCCTCAGCGGTTCTCCTGGCCAGTGTACAAGCCTACAAACATCAAAAATCAGATTAAAAAAAACAGTAAAACACGCTTATAGCAAACACGCTTATAATGAATTGACACTTACAGCAAAGTGATTTTCATTCCCAGTAAATTTGAAATATATTGTAAACTAAATGGATATAATGAATTAGGCTTATGACTAAGCAAAAATGTCAGCCCCTGACACTTCGTTATAAGCGTGTTTTACTAAACATTACTACTATTTTGTTCATTTTACTAATGATATTGAATCTATTCAATGCTCCTGACAATGATATGATACATTTACTTTTCTTCATGGATCATTTTTGTTTTTTTCTTTTGACATTTTGTACCTTTTAAAACATTGCAAGAAAAATTGACTTTGATCCTTTTCTCTCCTTTTGACAATTTTTAACACATATATCCCTTAAGGGTGTAAGAACACGTTGATGCATTATGATACAAAGGGGGTCGATATGATGCACTGATACATAAAATGAAGAATCATTTTTCTCTCTCAATATTTTCAGGAAGTGTATGTTTCAAAAATTAGAGTACATGTACTTGTGTGTAGATGTAGAACTCAATAAAAACCAAAAGAAAAGTGAAATTTCTTTTTTCCTTAGAAAATGGAAAAAAAAAAGGTACAAGAGGCCCAAGGGCCTTAACGGTCACCTGAGTATAATACAACAATTTAGAAGTTAAATAAACTGACAGATGACGCATTGTTGCCCTAAAGCAAGAGAAGTAGGAAGATCAGGATCAACAAAATAATTAGTCTAGTATTCAGTATCAACTCATAAATTAAGTTTTAATCTGTCCCCCACTTAACACTATCACCATGCAGACTATTAACAAACTATTAGTGCTTCTGTACTATTTTTAAACCCATATTAAGACCTCTAGCATTGACCTCTCTTATGGTCTTTGAAGAACTTTTAATAAGATAAGTTACTTTTGTCTCATTTTTATTTGTCTATTACTTACAGGTCTACCTGATTATTAAAACTAAGAAAGTACTTTTTGAATTATACGATAAACATTCTTGCATAATTATCTTATTCTATTAACCTTTCAAATACATTATTTACAGTGATTAATTATCAAAGGTGAATGGAAAAGGGGAATAACTTCTCTCAGTAGAATACAAGTTAATAGAGCCCTGGCCAGGACCAGAATGCTTAGATGAATGGTCCAGATGTTTAAAAATCTGGTAGAAATACACTTACTCATATCATTTAAACTTTTACTCAGTTTGCTTCCGATATGCCCAGAAGCAGAGAAGAATTTCACAGGTACAATGCATTTTCACTACAGATTCAACAAAGCCTTACCCTAACACCAGAACCCAAGACCAAGGGTCAAGAAATTTACAAATTTGGAAGAGTTACCCTCCTCATCATAACTATGGACTTCAAAGAATTAACACTTTTCCACTATATTATCAAAAGCCCCCCCCCCCATTATGCTAGAACCCCTGACCCTAGGACCACAAGATTTAAAAATTCTGTTCAAAGTTTCCATTTTCATCATAGCTAAGCAATTTATTTATCAGCTCAACACAAAGGAGCAGACAGGATTAATTAATGATTAATTAATAGAATTAATGCTTTTTCACTATATAATCAATAGAGCCCCCCCCCCCTCCTCAAGAACCCCAAAAACTGAGGCCATATATTTAAAAATTTTGGAAGAGGCATCCTTGTCTATCATAATCATGCACTTAGTTTGTTTAAATAATCTCCAGTAGCAGAGAAGAAGATTTTCAAAGAATCAATGCATTTTCACTATATAATCAATAGAGCCCCACCCTAACACCAGAACCCCTGACCCTGGGGCCATGAAATTCACAATTTTTGAAAAGGCATCCTTATGCATCATAACCATGCACTTAGTTTGTTTAAATGATACCCAGGAGCAGAGAAGAAGATTTTCAAAGAATTAAAGCATTTTCACTATATAATCAATAGAGCCCCGCCCTAACACCAGAACCCCTGACCCAGGGGCCATGGCTTTCACAATTCTGGAAGAGGCCCACCTCCTCATCATAATTATGTACTTAGTTTATCACCTTAATGCCCAGGAGCAGAGGAGAAGATTTTCAAAGAATTAATGCATTTTCACTATATAGTTGATAGAGCCCCGCCCTAACACCAGAACCCCTGACCCAGGGGCCATGAAATTCAAAATTTTGGAATAGGTACTCTTGCTCATCATAACTATGTACTTAGTTACTTTATTTAATACCCAGGAGCAAAGAAGAAGATTTTCAAAGAATTAATGCATTTTCACTATATAATCTATAGAGCCCCACCCTAACACCAGAACCCCTGACCCTGGGGCCATGAATTTCACATTTTTGAAGAGGCACTCTTGCTCATCATAACTATGTACTTAGTTCCTTTATTTAATACCCAGGAGCAGAGAAGAAGATTTTCAAAGAATTAATGCATTTTCACTATATAATCAATAGAGCCCCATCCTAACACCAGAACCCCTGACCCTGGGGCCATGAAATTCACAATTTTTGAAAAGGCATCCTTATGCATCATAACCATGCACTTAGTTTGTTTAAATGATACCCAGGAGCAGAGAAAAAGATTTTCAAAGAATTAAAGCATTTTCACTACATAATCAATAGAGCCCCACCCTAACACCAGAACCCCTGACCCAGGGGCCATGGCTTTCACAATTCTGGAAGAGGCCCATCTCCTCATCATAACTATGTTCTTAGTTTATCACCTTAATGCCCAGGAGCAGAGGAGAAGATTTTCAAAGAATTAATGCATTTCCACTATATAGTTGATAGAGCCCCGCCCTAACACCAGAACCCCTGACCCAGGGGCCATGAAATTCAAAATTTTGGAATAGGTACTCTTGCTCATCATAACTATGTACTTAGTTACTTTATTTAATACCCAGGAGCAAGGAAGAAGATTTTCAAAGAATTAATGCATTTTCACTATATAATCAATAGAGCCCCATCCTAACACCAGAAACCCTGACCCTGGGGCCATGAAATTCACAATTTTTGAAAAGGCATCCTTATGCATCATAACCATGCACTTAGTTTGTTTAAATGATACCCAGGAGCAGAGAAGAAGATTTTCAAAGAATTAAAGCATTTTCACTATATAATCAATAGAGCCCCACCCTAACACCAGAACCCCTGACCCAGGGGCCATGGCTTTCACAATTCTGGAAGAGGCCCATCTCCTCATCATAACTATGTTCTTAGTTTATCACCTTAATGCCCAGGAGCAGAGGAGAAGATTTTCAAAGAATTAATGCATTTCCACTATATAGTTGATAGAGCCCCGCCCTAACACCAGAACCCCTGACCCAGGGGCCATGAAATTCAAAATTTTGGAAGAGGTACTCTTGCTCATCATAACTATGTACTTAGTTACTTTATTTAATACCCAGGAGCAAGGAAGAAGATTTTCAAAGAATTAATGCATTTTCACTATATAGTCAATAGAGCCCCACCCTAACACTAGAACCCCTGACCCTGGGGTCATGAATTTCACAATTTTGGAAGAGGCACTCAAGCTCATCATAACTATGTACTTAGTAACTTTATTTAATACCCAGGAGCAGAGAAGAAGATTTTCAAAGAATTAATGCATTTTCACTATATAATCAATAGAGCCCCATCCTAACACCAGAACCCCTGACCCTGGGGCCATGAAATTCACAATTTTTGAAAAGGCATCCTTATGCATCATAACCATGCACTTAGTTTGTTTAAATGATACCCAGGAGCAGAGAAAAAGATTTTCAAAGAATTAAAGCATTTTCACTACATAATCAATAGAGCCCCACCCTAACACCAGAACCCCTGACCCAGGGGCCATGGCTTTCACAATTCTGGAAGAGGCCCATCTCCTCATCATAACTATGTTCTTAGTTTATCACCTTAATGCCCAGGAGCAGAGGAGAAGATTTTCAAAGAATTAATGCATTTCCACTATATAGTTGATAGAGCCCCGCCCTAACACCAGAACCCCTGACCCAGGGGCCATGAAATTCAAAATTTTGGAAGAGGTACTCTTGCTCATCATAACTATGTACTTAGTTACTTTATTTAATACCCAGGAGCAAGGAAGAAGATTTTCAAAGAATTAATGCATTTTCACTATATAATCAATAGAGCCCCATCCTAACACCAGAAACCCTGACCCTGGGGCCATGAAATTCACAATTTTTGAAAAGGCATCCTTATGCATCATAACCATGCACTTAGTTTGTTTAAATGATACCCAGGAGCAGAGAAGAAGATTTTCAAAGAATTAAAGCATTTTCACTATATAATCAATAGAGCCCCACCCTAACACCAGAACCCCTGACCCAGGGGCCATGGCTTTCACAATTCTGGAAGAGGCCCATCTCCTCATCATAACTATGTTCTTAGTTTATCACCTTAATGCCCAGGAGCAGAGGAGAAGATTTTCAAAGAATTAATGCATTTCCACTATATAGTTGATAGAGCCCCGCCCTAACACCAGAACCCCTGACCCAGGGGCCATGAAATTCAAAATTTTGGAAGAGGTACTCTTGCTCATCATAACTATGTACTTAGTTACTTTATTTAATACCCAGGAGCAAGGAAGAAGATTTTCAAAGAATTAATGCATTTTCACTATATAGTCAATAGAGCCCCACCCTAACACTAGAACCCCTGACCCTGGGGTCATGAATTTCACAATTTTGGAAGAGGCACTCAAGCTCATCATAACTATGTACTTAGTAACTTTATTTAATACCCAGGAGCAGAGAAGAAGATTTTCAAAGAAATAATGCACTTTCACTATATGATCTATATAGCCCCACCCTGGGGCCAGAAACCCTGACCCTGGGGCCATGAATTTCACAATTTTGGTAGAGGGCTCAATGCTTATTACAATGATGCCAACAGTTTGACTGCTTGATGTCCAGGAGAAAAGAAGAAGATTTTTAAAGATTGCATTATTTTTGGTGGTTTTAGCCCCACCCCTCAGGCCCCGGGGGGGCAGGGACCATGAAATTCACAATTTTTGTTCCCCTTCACCCATAGATGCTATATACCAAATTTGGTTGAAATTGGTTGAACGGTTCTTGAGAAGAAGTTAAAAATGTTCAAAAGTTAACGCACGACGGACGACGCACGACAACGGACAAAAACAGATAGCAATAGGTCACCTGAGTGACTCAGGTGACCTAAAAAACTAACTTGCTTTAATCTTGCTTTTAAAAAATTCTAAAGACAGAATAATTTTTTTTTTTTGAAAAAGGAATGCTGAAGTCGACATTTTCTGTTCTAAAAACCAATAAATAATTATGGAGAAATCTCTAAATTTAAAAACTAAACATATGACATACTGTGATATTTTACTGAAATAGTGTGATGCATCTTGATACTTATTTTCTTCACGATACACTGCCCTAATAACCCTACATAACAATGTACTCATATTAATCTATATCTATCCTATAAGACTGCAACAACAATTATATTAGTTCATCCATCTTTATTTTGAGTTACACTAACATACTGCACCTTAAGAAAAGCCTCTTTCTGTTCATTATGTTTGTTAATGAGCTGTAGGAGATAGGCGGCCTTGTCTTGAGCTGCGACTCGCTCATTAGAACACCAGTCTTCATCTCTCCTGTAGTCTCTCTCAAGGCTCTCCAACACAGACCATACCTATAAAACAAAATTACATACATTAATCTACCTACCTACCTAGTTCTTGTTGTACCCAGAGGTATGTTACAACACACTTTGAAAAATTACACACTTTGCATATTTTTAGCTCTACTGGTCAGAGACCAGAAGAGCTTATGCGATAGTAAGGTGTCCGTCATCCGTCCGTCTGTCTGTCTAGCTGTCTGTCTGTCCGTCTGTCTGTAAACAATTTTTCAAAACACTACTCCTCCTACAGTTTTGGTCTGATTTCAATATAACTTGGCACACAAGTAGACTACACTAAGATACATAACTTAGTGCATCGGTTTTTGATTTCCACGAACGGTGTTGCCATGGTTACTAAAAAATAGAAATTTCTGTGAAATTCCTTTAAAAGGCTACTCCTCCTACAGTTTGGGTCTGATTTCAATATAACTTGGCACACAAGTAGACTAACTAAGATACATAACTTAGTGCATCGGTTTTTGATTTCGATGAACAGCATTGTCATGGTTACTAAAAATAGAAATTTCTGTGAAATTTCTTTAAAAGGCTATTCTTCCTTCAGTTTGGGTCTGATATTAAAATAACTTGGCAAACAAGCAGATTACACTAAGATACATAATTTAGTGCATCGGTTTTTGATTTCGACTAATGGTGTTGCCATGGTTACTAAAAATAGAAATTTCTGTGAAACTTCTTTAAAACACTACTCCTCCTTCAGTTTTGGTCTGATTTCAATATAACGTAGCACACAAGTAGACTACATTAAAATACATTATTCTATTTATTGCTGCGTGTTGCAAAGTTTCAAATTCAAGTGCTACTTTTCCTTTGTTATATGTACAGACCAGTAGAGCTACAGTCTCATCAGAGACTTCTGGTTTTCAAAGTGCATTAAATTTGGGACCAAGTTAACATAATATTTCTTTTCAAGGTGCCTTAATATGGACCATTTGAATTGCATGGCATTTCATATCCTGTTCTGACAAAAATCAAATGTTACATGTGTAATGCCCGATGACAAAACATTCAGTAAATTTAGAAAGTTATGGAAATGGAAAAAGAACAAATTTTTAAATTACTTCATAGATTTTGTAATAAACAAACAGAGGAATTGCTGAAAATGAGACAAATTAATGACCATTGAATTCATGTATGTAATAAACTAGTCATGTTTTGCTATGCGTGTATACACATTGAAATCTTCGACGTCGAGTCTCAACTCTGATATCTTGACATCCCAGATATCTCAACAGTTTCTGATAGTTCCACCAATGTTGACATACAGAAGTTTACCTGTACATGATTTTGACTTTTCTCACAAAGCAATTTTTGGGGGCAGTTTTCAAAAAAAACAAACATTTGACTAACTATTAAATCTAAATCTAAATGTACATTGTGACAATATTGAACTTTAGAATTGTCCACCTTACCTGTTCGGCAGTTTTGTACCAGTTCATTGAGGCCATCACTAACTTATGTCTCTCCTCTGTGTGGTACATCAGCTGTTGCCAGGCGACGGTCACGTTCTCTGCTATTGCTCTCACCAAGTCTGAGTTATAATGGTTGTTCTGGATCATACTCTCAGCTCGGTTTGTCACTTGAGCCATACTTATATTAGTTTTCTAAAATTAATGAAAAAGAAATGCTGAGATTTTTGTTCAGAATAATTTTTTTTCTGTGTTTAACTTTGATTGATTTATGAGGTGCTGTTTTTCTTAGATGAATCAAGAAGCATGAAGAAAATCACCAACTCTTAATATGACATACTAAATTTTTCCTGTAAATATCTTGAGCACAGAAAACCAGTGCATGTATTAAACTCAGACCATCTTAAGAAAATTCATACCCTTGTAATACTCTGAATAAACTTGAATTTTTGCATTCTTATTCAGAATGTTTCAAATATAGATACTGCAAAGTTTCTTTCCTTGGTTTGAGAAGGATTTACTGACCTCAATGGCTAACATAAACTGCTCATGTTCCTTCCTAAGCTGATCTGCCTCCATTAAGGAATTAGGACAAATAAAGCTGCTAACCAACATTGACTTCCCGTTCTCTATCCAGTAGATCACCTACAATTCAATTTGAACAAAACTGCTTTGACTGCCAAAAGCAAGCTGCTTGTAACTGTATTCACGCTACCCGCCAAAATATTATGTACTCAATATTCAGCTTTTTCAGCCAATCACTACCTACTTTTTCTCAAACAAAAAGCAAGCCCTCCTTATTGCATTCACGCTACCCGCCAAAATATTACATACTTAATATTCCGCTTTTTTAACCAATCGCTGGCTACTTTTTCTCAAACACTCTCTTGCTTAGTAATGTCAGAAGAAATTATTATTACTGTAAGCTTCAGAATTCCTTTCAGCCAAGTAATTTTAATGTTGTAGATTTAGTTTGCCCGCCAAATCTACATAGCAAGTGAATGCTCATTTTTTTCTGCCAATAACTCTAACCTTTATTACTAAGCATTATCTTCCATGTTTTGTCAAAAAGAATTTGGTATGTAGTAATTGTCAGTGTTTGTGAACATATCATTTTGGCGCTCAGATCTTACTGATGTGCTTTAATTTTATACATGTGTGTTTTCTTTCAATCAACACTTTACTTTATGGTAATTCCTATGAATGTTATTTATTTAGATGTCAAATCTTAAGATTTCTATCAACTTTTTTCTGATATCATCTGAGATTAAATAGAAATATGATATTTTGCTTCCTTAGAAACAGATTTTCCCTCCAAAAATTAAAAATAAATTCAGGAAGTATCTAGCATAAATTCCTCTCAAAAATCTCCTCTGGAATTCTGTTGGTGTTTTTTGGGGGGTGGGGGTGGAGTGTGTGTTAGAAATCAATTGATTTTTAAATGCTCTGATAATTGAGGTTTCTTAGTTTACCCACAACTCTTCCTTGCTTATTAAGATGAAAAAAAAAACCTAAACTGTATCTTAAAAAATCATATGACTTCTACATATGATAATTTACATGATCCTCTACCCTACCTGTCTGGCCTCCACCTCAAAATTCTGTAGCTGTACCCCTTGTTCCAACCTCTGTCTCTTGGTCTCGGCTATGGTCTCTAGGTCAAGTTCCCGTTCCCTGAGGTACTCCATCAGAGCCTGGATCCTGGAGGGAGCATCGTACTGAGTGTCGGCCATCAGCTGGATCCCACTGCTCTCAAATATCTAGTAAAAGACAATATGTCACTGAAGCTTGCACAGTTATATGTGTATTAGATAAAATATCCTGTTTTTTCATTCTTCTGAAAGCACATCGATGTACCTACTGAATCTGTCATATAAATGTCTACATTATAATGAGCACTGGTGGAAATCTCAAGTGAAATCATGGGTGGGGTGTATTCAGATTTTCTGGTACTTAAAAATTTCACTTGCCCAGTAAGTTGCACCAATTACCTCAAGTATGATGACACACAGTTTTGAAACTTACTTGGTCCAACGTACATTTTAAAAAAGTTCAAAATCTAAAAATGCATTCACTATCAGCTGATTACACTTTCTGCAATATTACTTCAAGATTTACTTTTTTTTTAAAGTAGGCAATTGATATTCTAAAAATGTGAGAGCCTCATGTTTATTAAAATCCCTATTGTTTCATTTTCAGATACTTATAGAAATCTACATAAAATTCAGTTTCAAAACATGCACAACATGCTATCCACTGCCTCATCTCAGCAGTCTCCCACATTTGCTGTACCTGGATTATATCCTGTCCCCTCTGTAGAACATCATAAGTACAGTTCTGCATGTGAAGCACGCTGTCGTTATGAATCTGGAGTTGTTGTTCGGATTTGGCTCCGTCTGACATCAGATCCTGATGCTGGAGTTCCTCCGCCCAAAGTTCCAACTGGGAGGATACCTGCAAAGGAAGAAGTATGATCTTGTGTCATACAACACTGATGTCATGCAAATAATACCTAAAATGTTATGATAGAAAGACTGTCAATGCAGACTGTATTTTAAATATGCCTATCTCTTTTATACCCTACTTTTATACCCTACATTGTAAGATATGCAACAATTCATAAGGAACAAAACTAAGAATACTAAGAATAAACTTACATGGTCAAGCATAAATGAACAATTACTTATATCTAGAAGATAAAAAAGAATCTTTCACTTTTAAATAACTAGGGGGGTACATGAGGAAAAGATAATTTTTTCTAAAGTCACACAACACCTAAATCTTGTCATACATTCCATACACAACAATGAATATGTTTAGCAGTTCTAAGCTTTTGTCACAAAAAAATGCTTGTTAATTTTTTTTAAAGTACATGTAATTTACCAAAAATATGCAGTTATCAAATTAAAAAAATAAATAAGCATTAAACTTTAAATTTTTACAATTCAATATATAATTTTTCAAGTCCAATCAGCTTAAACAAAATATTTTTTTTTTCATATTAGTATTTTACTCTGACAGATCAAAAGATGCTATGTAGCTACTGTTAATCAATCCAAAAGAAAAAAAAATATGAAAATGTTTAAATTTACAATTTATCAAAGAGTGGCGATTTCAAAAGGCCCCACTTTTAGTGAAACAATAATGCAATTCAAAAATAGTGAAAAACAGACTCTGAACTTGAAGTTAGAAACTCACCTTGTCAACACACACACTCTTTTTCAAAGGACACTTTTTGGGTGACAAATGAATGAAATTATCCCAGAAAGATAGATAATATCCTTTAGACAAAGAATTTAAACAATATGTCTTGTTTTGACCTTGACCTTTGAGTTCGAAACTTAATTCAAGGCTACTTCACACCCTCAGTGAATGACACTTTAGGGTGAAATATGAATGATAAGATGATATAGGGAGAGAAAAATACCACAGATAAGGAATATCATTAATTATCAGTTTTGATCTTAACCTTCCAGTAAGAGACTTGATTCAGTGTAACTCCAATACCCTACCCAAGGACATTCTATTGAAAAAGAATAAAACTGGCCAAAGAGGAGAAAAAATATGTTCTGTACAAGCAATTGTAAGACAGATGAATGAATGGATAGACTTTGAGAATAATCACTGTAAGCTACTTGCAGAGTGGGACTCTAATAATAAAAAAAGCTCCCTTTATAAAAAAAAAACATTCTCAGCAGAGTTTATAGATACTTTACCTGTTATATTATATATTGTACTATACAGTATTATATATTGTACTATACAGTATTATACATTTATTGCATGATCGTGAGGGGAAGATGAAGATTTATTCAGCCAAGAGAAATCATCTTCCCGGAGGGCTTTGCCCGAGGGGAATATGATATTTCTTGACTGAATAAATCTTCATGTTTCCCGAACATTCATGCAACAAATTGTGTATTATACTGAAACAAGCAAAAACTTTAAAAATAAACATAAACTTCAAATTTGGCACAGCTCTTAAATTCACTTTCAATTAACGTAGTGTTTCTGTTCAAAACAATTTACGGATTTGTGAAGTGAACCAGGTTATTGTGACGTCAACTACTCTTGCGGTTTTCATTCAACGAACGATAACTATTGCGGAAAAATGCAGTTAGGTCTCCAAAGAGGTTGAATATGATGAAAAGCATGACGATGACAGAGAAATATTAAGTTTTATGGCCCTGTCACGTGATAATCTAGAACCAATGAGATAACGTGTTGTATAGATTAATCATAATGAGGTATAATAATATATATTGTACAATACAATATTATATATTGTACTATACAATATTATATATTGTACTATAAAATGTACCTCTAAAGCATCTCTTTCAAAAAGCCTGAGTTGTAAACACAAGTCCAACTTCATCTTTCTGTTGGCCCACAATTCTTCTAGCTGTGTCCTGCTGTCATTCAATTGTCTTAGAACACCTAGAACAAATCACAAATATCATCATGATCAAATTAAACTGTCATATCTACTGAATAGAATTTTTATTTAAAAGGTTTCCTGAAGGATGTTGCAAATTATTTGTCTCCATCTCAAAGTACGGTACAAAATCATTAAATAAACAAATGTTTAGATTTAATACTTAAATCACTCATTTTCAAGAGGTCAAATTTTCATGGTTTGAGGAAAAATTATTGGTTCAAGAGAAATTGATTTCATGGTTTAAGGGCACATATTATTTATTAGTAAGAAATTTTAACATTTCGTGGTGGACTTGAATTTGTGGGTCTTTTCATATCATGAAAAACAATGAAAATTAACCCCCCACAAAAATTAATGATTTCGCAGTAGTAGAGAGGATGTTTGTAAAGTTCCTCTTTCAATATATGTAAGAGGGATATTGATCACTACATATGACCTTGTCCAGAATATATCTTGACCTTTGCCTTGAATATGAAGTCTATCAAATAGTTAAAAAGTAATGGGCATAGTTACACATGCAGAGAAACTCTTTAAACTCAAAGACATCTGTGCAATAATGAATAAAGCATTCTCCGTTGACCTGCTCCTTCCTTTGCTAAAATAGTCTAAGAATACATAAAGTGTTTACTCAAATGCCTTGTTTGATATCATATCAATCAAAACAAAGATGTGTTCAGTAGAGTATGCATGTGTTGAAGTAACCAGAGAGATGTTACATTTGCACAACAAATTCAGAGAAAGTGAAATGGGTTATCAAAACACTGTATTTACTACATAGATATGTATTGCATATTTCATCTGAAGAGTGAAATATTTAAAATATATGAGGTTGTTTACAAACATCTGTTTTAAATTGATGAGATCCAGGGAGTGTAGTATCTGTGTAGATATAAAGTTGATTAAAACTTGAGACAGAATTCCATTAATTTGTCACTCATCCATTTATCTCCCACCCACAGAAAGGTTTGGTTTACCTTTATCAAAACACTTCACTGCATTAAAGTCATGAAGGATGGTCTTAATAATAAAGGCATCCTGCCAAACCAGGTTACATAATAACCTAAAGATAGCACTTCTTTGCATTTTCCCCAATGCTGAACATCTGAAATCCACCCCCACCTTACCCCTAAAAAAAAAATTCCTTCCCAAAACTCGTAAAACAGGGATGCATGGGCCCTAATGGTCACCTAACTTACACTGGCCCTGCTGTTCCCGAGGAAAGAATATTTTTTTATATATATATTTTAAGAAAGTATTGTCTTTTGTGGCCCTATGGTGTTGAGAAGAATGTTTTTTTTTAAATGATGCCAACAATTTTCACTAGTTGGAGGAGTTGTAACATATAACATTAAAATTCATCAATCTCAAAATGGATTATTGAAAGGAAAATTGTTTTGAAAGAACAAGGAGGAATAAGGATTAGAAGTGCTTCATGCAAATCAAATCTAGATTTTGAGTTGAATGTTTACTGTAAATCACTTTTTATTCATGAGAACTTTGTTCACGTTATTACGCGAGTCTGTTTGCTCACCAAAGTTTTTATTCTCACATACATTTTGTCATGTTTAAGATTATATATAACAACTAGTAGACTAATTATTCTCGAACAATTAGAGGTCTTTCCACCTTCTTTAAATTTCATATATTCTGCATATTTAACTCTCTACCGTTTATTTTTATACAAGAGAAACCAGAAATGGCTTGAAAAATGGAAAAAAATGAAAAGTTTGAAATTTTTAACATGACCTTGACCTTTGACCTTGAACAAATATTCAAGGTCAAAGGTCAAGGGTCATATTGCACTTGACCCCATGCTTCTACGACTTTTAATTTTAAAGTTATAAAGTTTAATAGTAAGCGCAAAGACGTTAAAGGGCAATAACTCATTTAAGGGGTCATCGGATCCTTTTGCACTTTATAGATTGAAGTTGTGTCTAAAGACCCTGAAGACATTAGTGAAGGTTTTGTGTCTCTGCGGTTTATGGTTTCGGAGAAGTAGCTATAACAAGGTTTTTAGCACAAGGGGCAATAACTTTCAAAAGGGTTAAGCTTAGGGGACAAGAATGAAATCTTTGAAATAGATTTAAGAGTACATATTAATGATGCAAAGACAGATAGTATGTATTGAAAGACAAAAGAGCTGTAAAAAGGGCTAAATTTCTCATTTTGATTGTATTCAATGTTTTTGGTATTATTTCATTTGAAAGGCAACGTAATAAAACGAAATGTCGGTTGTATGAATTGATCAGAGTTAAAAACTAAAGTAGAAAGATGGATGCTAAGTGATATAAAACTTTGAATTTGAATAGTGTTTATTTGAATTTGAATAGTGTTTAACGATATTTAAGAGAATTTTTTTGATTTATTGATTGAAAAATGTCTTGAAACAGTAAGTAAATATGATGATAGTTAATTATCATGTCATTTAAAGAAGCCTGAAAAGCAAAAACGAAATTAACATAAGATGTGGAAAAAGAACACAGGCATACGTTATGTTTCAGCATAATGTTGTTTTTTTTTAGAATTTTAACTGACCATGGTTATTATAATAGTCACTTATTATAAAGTTTTGGCCTGACAAATAAACTATGATAATAAACGAATTGTACTGTACTACCATTTGTCACTCTCACCATACAGACTTAAACAGAACAATATTGCTTGAGCACATTACATTAGCCTCTCTTGGTCTTTGAAGAACATTTGATGTACAAAGATAAGGTACACTGTATTTTGTCTCATTTTTCATTTGTCTATTATTTACAAGTCTACCTGACCATTGAAAATTATGAAAAGTAATTTTTGTATTATCAGGGTATGTATTAAAAATTCTTGTATAATTCTTTGTTCAATTCACCCTTCAATTACATTATTTACAATAATTAATTATCATGGGTGAATAGCAAAACGGAATAACCCTTCTTCGTAGAGTACAAATTTCCCTACGAGATCAATTAAGTCCTGCCCAGCACAAGAATACTTGACCCAGTGGTCCAGAATTTATGAATTTGGGAAAAATATCATTGCTCATTACAACTATGTACTCCATTTGCCTCTTAAATGCCCAGGAACAGAAAAGAAGATTTTCAAAGCATCTATGCATTTTGATTTCAAAGAAATAATGTACTTTCACTATATAATCAAAATAGCCCCATCCCACCACCAGAACCTCTGGGCCATGAATTTCAAAATTTAGGAAGAGGCATCCTCAGGGCTCATGATTGTTTGTCTACTAGATACCTAGCGACAGAGAAGATTTCCAAAGAATTAATGCATTTTCACTATATGATCAACAAAGCCCCACCCTAACACCAGAACCCCTGCCCAAGGGGTCTTGAATTTCTTAATTTTGGAAGAGACACCCTTGCTTATCATAACCATGCATTTAGTTTATCTGCTAAATACCCAATAGCAGGTAAGATTTTCAAAGAATAAATGTATTTTCACTAGAGCTCCACTCTAATACAAGAAGAACATAACTTGCTCATTATAGCAATGCACTTTATTTCTTTGCATAGTACCCAGGAGCAGAGAAGAAGATTTTCAAAGAAATAATGCATTTTCACTTTATGATCAATAGAGCCATGTCCTAAGACCAGAACCCCTGACTCAGGGGCCATGGATTTCACAAGTTTGGAAGAGGAACCCTTGCTTATCAGAACTATTCACTTAGTTTGTTTTCTAAATATACAGGGGGAGAGAAGCTTTTCAGAGAATGTATGCATTTTCAATATATTATCAATAGAGCTCAACCACAACTCCAGAACCCCTGACCCAGGGTCATGAATTTCAAAATTTTGGTAGAGGGTTCAATTCTTATTACAATCATGCTAACAGTTTAACTGCTTGCTGTCCTGGAGTAAACAAGATTTTTAAAGATTGCATTAATTTAAGTGGTTTTAGCCCCACCTCTTGGGCCCAAGGGGGTAGGGACCATGAAATTCACAAAAGTTCCCCTTTATCCATAGATGTCATATGCCAAAATTGGTTGAAATTGGTTTAGCTGTTTTAGAGAAGAAGCAGAAAATGTTTTAATGTCCATAGATGTCATATGCCAAAATTGGTTGAAATTGGTTTAGCTGTTTTAGAGAAGAAGCAGAAAATGTTTAAATGTTAACAGATGATGATGGACAAAAACAGATAGCAATAGGTCACCAGTCACTCATTTTGATTTTAAGTTTTCATTAGTAAGACAAACACTTATTAAGCCACTAAGACATACAATTCCTTAGAAGTATTGGCATTAAACCTAGTATGGAAAAATTATGTTAGAGTATGTGGAAAAAGTTTATTTTGTCTACTTTGCTGTGAACATGCTATTTAATACAGGAATATTTTCATTATAATGGAATTGTTGCTTACTTTTTATATATTTTACAGCAAATATAACTTTATCTAATATAGGTATTTGAAATTTCAATATAAATTTCACTGTGGTAGAGTATTTACTTTTCAATTTTCTCATTTTGTTCTAATCATGGACATTTATCTTAAGACTTAATTAGCTATGTTCTTTCCTTCTTTGAAGAACATGCATATTACATTATACATAATAAATATGTCTCTATGCCCATGTTTCATATGACACTCAATTATTGATTACCTGCCTTTACATTGGCCTTGCAAAATCAGACTAGAAAACAATACATGTACCAATTTATCAGGAGAATGGACCAAACTATTGATTAACTGTTAGATTAATACTATAAAGATACTGCAAAGAGGAACTAATTGTGGTCAGTGTGCGCTGGGTTGGATCTAATTTGAAATAATAAGGAAACAAGGATATGAAAGTGAACATAATAAAAAATGAATAAAATAACAATTGAGTAAAATAACAGTCTGGAATCTAATTTAATTCTTCCTAATGTAAATAAATTTCCATGCATTTTTATGAGTACAGGTTTATCCAAAATCTTGTGCAACTCTGAGTCCCTCCATCTGACTTTCAGTAATTCTGCTATCAATGTCAATAAAACTGATTTAAATTTATTACAACAGCCCCCCCCCCTCCCCCCCCCCCCCCCCAAAAAAAAAAAAAAATCTCTGCAACTGTACTACAAAGTACTGACAGTCTAGAGCTACAAAACTTTGAAAATAACTGAAATTTAAAAAAATCTTGCCAATGCAATTAAATGCAGCAATACATAGACAGGGATAACATTGTTCTACATTTTTTCTCATTTCTGCCCAGCATCTAAACAGCATTGTAAACAACAAATGCTCTCACATTGAGTTCAACTTCAAAAGTGAATGTGTTAGAAATGTGTGGATTTCACTGTTGGAAAACTGCAAGTGCATCTGAAAGTGATTAGGGCATATTCTCAAAAACATAACACTATTGCAGCAATACTTTTCTTTAATTAAAACCTTTGGGATTGTTGTACAAGAACTTACAGAAGATGTGGGAAAGACCTTGACCTTTAAAACCAAGTCAATTTGTCTGACATACCTATAACAGCCCAGACATTTGTTTTGCACTTGAAATAATGCATAATGCAAGTGGGAATGTAATACACTTACACTTAAAAGTCATGGGTCACATTATCTCTACCAGACATCATCACATATACATGCATATTTCCTGAATACTCAATTAAATATAGAGAAAATAACCTTCATTCAATTTAGAAAGATGATCCATTATGGACCACAGGCTAAAGAAATCCGCAGTGATAAGATAAACCTGGTACAATGTACTGGTAATTGGATTTAAATGATGTCCATTAAAGTGCCATCCTGAGGAGTTACCTTAGTCACTTGTCAATCTTTTCAGAGATGTTTACTTTCATTTCCTTGGCTGCAACTGCCCAGTATAGATGTGGGAAAGGGTAGGACTTTGGGGTAATGACGAAAGAGACATTTTAAGCTTTAAACAATAGTATAGAGTTAATAACTCTGTAACCTACAAATTCTAGACCTTTTTATCCATAAAATTCCCAACACCTTTATACAGTTGAACTCATTTAATACAAACACAGATGTAGCGAATTTACGGATATTGCGAAGTTGTTAGGAATCCACGGCAAAATTCTTAACAATTCCTTGTAAAATTTTAGGGAAATAACGAACCTGAATATAGTGAAACTACGGATTTAATGAACTAATTCCAAGTCCCCTAGAAGTTAAAAATAACAACATTTACTTCTTTAACATATTTTTCACAGATCTTAATTTTTAGAATACTAAACTGACATTATTTTTGTTTCTTTATGTGAAATTCATTTAATCCGAAAACTTTTGAACTCATAGATCACTTTTGCATTTGATACTTCCTAAAATACATTTGGAAGTTGTGCTTATTAAAGGGAAAAAAAATCTTTCTTGGGAATTCACTATATGGTTTAGTGAATTTGTTTTACAGATATAACAAATTACGGATATAGCAAAGTAAATTTGCAGGTCCCCAGGAATTTGCTATAACTGAGTTTTACTGTACTAGTATTTCATCAATATTGTCCTTTCGGTCCTTAAATTTACTAAATGACTTAATAATCCATTAATGAGGACTGGCTATGGGGTACATGATACACCTGTCTGGAACTATTTGACTAGGTATATATAGCAATATAATTCCAAAATGAATGAGTAGGACACAAATTAATGCATCCAACAGACACACAGACAGACAAACAGGAATACAGCAGCATATAAATTGTGTGAGACAATAGCAATAATATTATCTTGTACAAATATAAGTAGATTTAAATTAATCTTACTTACCTTCTATATGAGTGTAATCAGCATTCTGGTTAATTTTGTCAGGTTCAGCACTGAATACCCTACGAAAAATGTAAACAATAATTTCACAGAGTTTCATTAACTTTATCCACATGAAAATACACACAACAGCCACAAATCTTAGAATTTTGGTCACAACAATTAAAATCAGCAACACAAAGCTAAAAATCTTCATCACAGTAATGTGTAAGGATTGGTCCGGCATTTTGTCAAAGAGTTTGCTACGCCATTGTGTAAAATTGACCCTTCTCTGAGAAGGACCAGTGGCCCAAGAATGTCGCCATGATGCCCTCCAAGAGCGCCGCTGACGTACTGCCACACCCTCAGAATCGGACCCTGAACGCCTCCTTTGGACAGGAATGTTGGATGGCATTGTGGAATGATTATATTTTAAATCTCCATAATCTCTCTCTTTAGTAAAGTGTCAGAAATTCCCAAAGTATCTGCACATGTTGACATACAAAGCACCTAGCCATGTTTACATCACACTACTATCTTGAAGCACTTGTTACAAAAACACAAGTTAAGCACAAGACTCTGTACAGATGTCTCCTTGTTTCCTCACACGCCATCGGACACAGAATATCGAGATGAAAAATGACTAATTTCCTTTACATGCTTCTAGCACTAGACTAAAAGTATGTGATTTTTCCCCATGTGATTAAAGCATGTAGCAACAGTAAACTCTTGCCACAAATGTTCACAATCAGTTGGGCCGAATATATATATATATCCCAGAATGTTTATAATCATTACATATACACAATAAACACCACGGACATTTAACCCCAATGAATGGCCAAGCATAACGACTTCATCTTATTTCTTAAGCACTTCCCATAGCACAGTATACCACACAAATGCATGAGAATTCAATGGATCAAACATTTCTGTCTTCTGTCCTAGCTTCTATTGAATGATTACACATAATAACTCCGTAAACTCCATATTACAGTCACACACCAAAATTTATTAACTGAATATCACCAACACTCATAATTTCCAAAAAAATTTCAACTATATGTTTACACCAAAAAATGCAAACAAAATAAATAGAAAGGGGGAACACATACATCAAGGAAAAATGAAACAAGTATTTTTCTCCCAGTAATCAATATAAACACTCAACTGTCTACAGAGTATACCCTCTTCCAAAAACACAGCCCTCACAAAGAATGTGATTAATCACTAAATGTTATGTAGGCCTGTTTATAATCATCAAATCATTACAGTTCAGTTTCAATCTGCCTCTCTCATGTACAACACAAAATGAGTCATTTTTCCAATAAGTGAAATCCTATATAGTTGATAAATCCTAATACATGAAATTATGTTGCAAGGATAGTCTCCCTTACTCCAAATCATTTCTTATAAAGACATGACATAAAAAGTGATCCAAATTCTTTTTATTTCTACAAATACTAGTACTCTGTGGCAGGTCTCATGCAGGTACTTCAATGTATCATTAATTCTACTAACAAATTAAGCTGATTAGATTTTAATTACTGACATTCCTTTCGGCTTAATGTCTTTGATAAAATTCTTTTCAAATTAAAATCCACACAAGGTATTTTCTCATCAGCTAGTCATCATTTCATAATCAACAGCCAAAATTTGAAAGGTTAAGATTTATATAGATCTATAGATAACAGGCAAATTTTTTTTATCATTGGGTCAATTGCCACAGGGAAATTAATATCAGTCTTGTTGTGACACTGATTCAACAACCACGATGAAGATAAATTCAGTCACCTTGACTTTTTCTACAAGGATTGTATAAAATTTTTTGAATTACTTTCATTCATGTTATCTCTGGTGTATGCATATCTGTTATAAAATGCACCCAAGGACTTGAAAAGCAATCATATTTCAAAGCTCCACCTTATTTTCATATTGTTATCTTATCTTCTCTCAGACTATCTCTTCTAAGCAGTTGTGCAATGGCATAATTTCTGATATACCGTGTAAACACCTGTGAAAATTCGTCAAAATTTCGGAATACAGATACACAACAATAGGCAGCAATTCTCGGGAAAATATGTCAAGCAGAAACCTGAATTCAAGTGAAGCATGAAATGAGAAAAAACCCCATGTAACCTGCTGCTGAAGTTTGTGCACTAACTTAATAAATCCAGTGGAACACTTACTGAGCTAAACACATTAAATATGTTCATGTCTTATAATAAATACTTGTATTTAATACAAAATTTCATCTGATCTTTGATAGTTGTAAATTTTGAGTTTCAGTCTGAATACTGAATATTAACAAAAAAAAACTTTCTTAGGCTTTGAATCAAAAATCCCCATAATTCATGAGAATTTACGTCCAAAATGTACACAAATCTGTAAATCATTTCAAGATATAATTTCATCACAAAGATATACAAATGACAAAAATTATTATTTATGTCCATGCCAGTCAAAACCTTCTTTGGCATAAGTTGCTAACCTTGACCTTTGACAGTGGAAATCAATACTTATCTTCCTAGTATCATATTTAATAAGGTGAATGCAGGGTTCGACACTAACGTTAGTCCGTTAGTCTCAGACTAATACATTTTAATTCGGACTAATAAAATTTGTGGCTAATTAGTCCGAATGGACCAATAAAAATTCCTGGAAAACAATATTAATAATTTACCAATGTCCGATTCTCCACAACTTTTACTGGAAAACCCCGCATTTATTTTTAGCTTTCTAGCTTCTTGGTGGGTAGTAGACATGAATAAGTGCTTAATTTTCAGACTGATTGATATGAAGTAAAACATTTTAGCTATCATAATTTATATGACACGCAAAAGAACGAGGTCAGACATTTTGGATGTAATGTAAAGAGAAAAAGAACGAGATCGGGAATACGTTCGTACTCGTTGAACGCAAGATTTCAACGAATCTGTGCTGTGGAATAAATCATTTCACGTGAATGCTTTGTTTATTTAAAAAAAGTATAAAAACTTAAATTGAAATATTTATTTTTAAATCAATGTTACAAAACATTGATGTTTCCTTTTATTGATGGACTCATAAAATTGCATGCGGACTAGTAAAAGTAAAGAAGCACTAGTCCGGCCGGACTAAAGCCTAAAAAAGTTAGTGTCGAACCCTGGTGAATGTCAGAAAGAAATAGTTCATTTTTATTAAATCTCCCTTTTTTCAAATAATTAACCTGACATTAAAATCTTTTATAGTTCAAACATGTCTGGCAAATTTATGAACAGTGACCTTATAACCTCTAATCTTGAGAACCAATAAAAACAAAAAATATCACTTCCACCCCATCACCAAAACAATTTTTTAGAAAAATACTGACTAATGAAGAAACCCAAATAAGGAACAACACTATGAGCCCCTTACTTTTCCAGCATACAACTTCTCTCTCCTTGGCCTATAATCTGCTTCAGACTGCACCTTATGAATTAATTAGGGCCCGTGGAGATGCATGTATATACTTCTCAGCAATATTCTATACATTCTTTAGTATGAATTAAGGGGTAAGGGATATAAATTTGGAACACCACAATTTAA